TCGGTTGGAAATGAATAAATAACAAATCTTAGAAACCGATACTTGAAATGTAAGTGCTATTGATATGCCTCTGTATTAAGCAAAACAAATTACCCTAATAAAAGTATGATCATGACTACTATAGATGTGCATTTATATCAACGCAAACTAATTATCCCCACACACACACACACACACACACAGGGATCACAGAAATGAAACTGGGAAAACGGGGAAAATTGAAAAGACCTTTGAAGTGGCATTTTAAAAACGAATTAGCCTAGACAGCGATTACTGTGCCCCCCAAGTCGTCGCTTTAATTGAGACTAGCTCCACCACATAGAGGATCTATCTATCACTCGTCACAGATACACGTCGTCGCACTCGAAGTTACTCAAAAGAGGTCAGGCACATGAAACTGACGCAATTGTTTGCTTTCGTTTTGATATCATCTCTCGATCGCCGATAGTCGATCGCCCGGTTAGCTTGTCTCTATTTACTTTGATGGCCTGCTAGTTTGTTGTATAATTTAATCGACATTTTACGAGGCCCAGTTCGATTGCTTATTGGCGTAGTCGGGGCAAATAGGTGGCAAAATATGCGATACAATGTTGCCAAATCTGAGTTGAAAAACTGGAGCTGCAGTCGTGAGCGCACTAAGCCGACATAAATAACACTCGTAAAATGATATAAACAAACACCCTCTTTTCATTCGCTTTTATTTCATTCGTAGTACATTTATTGGAATCTTGTTCGTACGGTTGTCAGGTCGACAGAAGCTGGTGTTTAGAAAAGTAGATAAGGTAGCCGGCGAATAGACGCACCTAATCTCGTGCCCCACAACTTTAAACTTGAACCACAGGCGATACGAAAAGTGCTCCGCTGACACACTGTTTTCTTTTTTTGGTCAAGCGGATAATGAAACAAAAGAAACAGGTATACAGAAACAGAATCTGGTTTTCATTGCAAGGAGAAACTTTCCCTGCGGCCAAATGAAAATGTTTACAGGCCCGCGTAATGTAATTTAAATGTATTGCTCCATGTTTTTGGCCACTCATCACATTTATCTTCAAGATGGGCCGCGAGGATCGTGTCACAAAAAATGAGTCAGGCACTCACACCTCTTCCCTCTGCAGGGCCGCCAGCATCTGAGATTTCTGATATCAGGTTCCCGATTTCGGGGCCTTACTTACTACAGTCACACGCACATAAATAAGTACGGGCGCAGTCGGATAGGATAACACGCGTGTGTAATCATCATTAATGTCAATCGCAAGCTCTGGGGCTTAAATGGCAATAATATGCCCGATCATCGTACGATAATGATACACCTGAATTTGTTGATAAAAGCATGCAAAAGGCTAGCCTACCGATAAGTAGTTCTATCCAATAATTACGTGTGTATAATACAATCCGCACTCTCTTTGATTGATTGCACCTTTTTCAACAGTACCTATATAAGCATATAGTATACCAGTTCCACCGCACACATGTGCTATATATATAGATATATGATACAGATGTATGGTGTAAGGTTGTAAACCCGAGGTAATTGCCTGGCGGCCTAATGAGAGATTTGTCCGGCAATTAATTCGACTGGTCGCCAAGCTAAATCGCTGGCCCGACTCCATTGATGATTGAGGCCTTTTGCGGCAAAATGAAAATAAAGCTGAATATGAAAACGCAAATGCAAATGCAAATAAATAACAAACGCACCGAATGTGGTGGCTAACGAACGAGAGTGAACTTTGAGGCGTGCCAGGCCGAAGAAAGTTTTCTTTCATGCAAAACACACAGCAACACACAGCAGCACACAGTTTCATCCAAACGAAACTATAAACAATACAACTATAAGCTGGCAGACGAAAAACGAAAGTCTCGTTTTAATTCGCCTTTTCAATTGGCGAGCAGGCAAAGTACATACGTACGTAAATCCCCCCGGAAGCGGTTTCGAAAATCATCATCATAACACTCGTTTCCATAATCGAGAACTTCTTTTGTGCGACTGCTGCTCCGGCGGCGTCAATTAAAAGCAAATCAGGAAAGCAATTTAACTGCAAGATCATAAATCCGCTTTGTAACGTGCCAAAGTTCCATATCGCCAAGTGTTCTTTACACACATCGCACTTGTTATGTCTCTTTGTTTTCTTTAGCCGGTTTTTGTATAACCCAATTGCGGCTTATTCTCGCACTTTCCGACTAAACTAATTAAATAAACAATCTCGCCGAGATTGCGTCGAGAGAACACACTCGAAATTCGAATAACAAATCTCGCCGCCAGACCAAAACTATGCGTTCAAGTCATTTATCAATGCGTTTTGTCGACAAACAATCCGCATAGTAGACAGATAGACCCGGCTGACTGCTGGCTGCTGGATTAATTTATATGATTGCCGGTTGAGCTGAATGCGAGTTTTGGCCTGCAGTCCGAAACTTAGACCCCATAAGGTCAAAGCATTTTTAATGCAACACCTTGAGAATCGAAACAACGGTCACCAGCAGCAGCGGCAATCCAGTAGTAGCACCACGAATACAAAAGCGAATACGAATACGAATACGATTACGAATACGAATAGCATTCGGCCAAAAAAAGAAAACCTGTTTCCCCCATGCGACTTTTATTGGTAATGAGTAGTGGAGCAGTAAGAGTAGTGGACAGCACTGGAAGTGAGAGGTGTTTTGGCTTGGCCAGGCTACCTGGTCGACCTGGTCGGTCGTGGCAGTTCCTTCTCAATGGGGCAACACAAGTAGCGGGTGCCGTATAATTGGCCGGAAAGTAACGTTGACGTTGGCCACTCTTTGCAATTAGAGGCCTGCCATAAAGCCAAGATTTAAGTTTGCTGTAGTCGGGTGAAGTGAAATGAAGTGGAGTGGACTGGAGTGGAGTGGAGTAAAGTGTAGTCCAGTGGAGTCAAGAACGCCACCTCGGTGACCGAAAACAAAAGGCTCCACCCGGATTCGTTGAATGTTTATGGCGCCCAAGGGCCGAGCACACATGCAAACTTGCCACACAGCCAGGCCAGGCACCATTGGCACGCAATGTGGCATAAAGTTAAGAATAGCAAATAGGTAAAACAATATTTGTGGGCATGATGGAAAGGCACTAGGTATAGTATACTATACCATAGAATATGAGCTCTACAACGAGCAAGTTCTATATGCAGTCTCAGCAAATGTTGGAAATTGTTTGACTTTTGATTAGGTCTAGTCTGATAAGAAGGCCAAACAATTACGCTGATTTATCCATGAAAAAGCGAAAAGTGAAAACTGGCCGAAACAGCAGGTAAATTACGATACAAAGCAAGAAGTCTGAGAATGAGTCGCCTTTGCCCCACAGCTTTCTCCTCCCAAGGAAATCGAGGCGCTATTGAATGGAAAAGGAACGCAATGTTTATACGTGACACGCAGAATGCAACGTACTTTCTTCCCAAACATGTGGGGCACAGCACTTTTTTGGCCAACAGCGTTGATTATGAATCTCTCATTTCCAGCATTCGGTCATTAAAACCGAACAAACGATTGTTAGGCAAAAGGGTCAAACGAAAAGTCACGTATCATTAAAAAAAAACAAAATGTTGAAAGAATCCCAGACAGATGACTGTGACCAAAACAGATAATTGCTGCGAATGAAGCTATCTTGATACGGCGTTATAAAATCCAGCAAAATTCGTTCGTTCATTTGGTATTAGAATAAATAAAGCGAGAGAGCGGAACGTGTTGCTGATAAGATAATGGATTATTTAAGCCCTTTTAAAAACACACATTACACAGACAGACAGACAGACAGACACACACGTAGCCGAATGTGCCCCAAAATTAATATTACCATATCTTCTGCGGTGGCAAATTGCATGTGAAACGGTTGAAAACCTTCTGCGGCATTATAAATAAGGCCTTATTTATTTACTTTTGGTTCTTGCGAATGGCCAGACAATTTAATTTATTTGCCTGCATTAGGAAAATAACACATGAGCGGGCTAAAGGGAGCAGGGAGCAGGAAGCAGGGAACCCTGGGAGCCCAGAGATCCTGGGCGGAACAAAGGCATGTCAGAGTACAAGAGTACAAGTTTTGCCCATTCTACAGATAGTGACTCAGTCTGTCAGATGAGGGAATCGAGAATGTCTGGGGAATTTACACGCTAAAAAGCTGGGCACTAGTCCACTACACTGGCCGTCTAATTACTTTAATTAATAGAAAACACTAAAAGGTGTTTCCACGCCTGCACAAATTGTTGGTTGAAATTTCCATATTGTTATTATACGAAATGGACTGCTATTAGTTGATGTATTCAGTTTAAAATATCGTAGAAATTAAAAACAAATTATAATCAATCTGGAAACGGGTTTGATTTACCGATACTCATTTATTTATTCCACAGAATATGACAATAACAACATTCCCGCCCAATTTGCCGCCTATTTCTCACCAGCTTTATTTATGTATGACATGCAAATCTTCAAAAATAATACAATTCGAATTAAACGCGTAAGCTTTACCACATGGTAATGGGGTTTTTCCACGGCATTTCAACTCTCTCTCTCTCGTGAAAAAAAAAATAAAATCATACTTGCTGGCTGCGGAAATGTATGGAAATCTTGGACACATTGGCCGCCCAACCGACCGATGTCAAAGTTTTCATAGATTCCAGTGACATTTCCTATTAATAGAAGGAAATATTCATTTCCTATTTATAGAACTGCACAGCTATGACGTCCTGGACTCGATTAGTTGAACTGAAACCCCCTCCCCAGGCTACACTGCGCTCCAATACTTGCCGTCCGAGTTATTGCATGCGTGCAGAAGAATAAATCACATTAAAAATTAAACACGACCCATAGAAACTTTCCGATATGCTCTGAAGAGAACTTGATTGGGTGGGTGGCCGCAGTGGGCATCTAGTGTGCTGCTGAGCTGCTGAGCTGCTGAGCTGGTGAGCTTCTGAGCTGGTGAGCAGTTCATAAAGGACGTCAAGGAGCGTATAGTATGTGTATAGTATAGTACAGTATATGGTGTTACTTACATTGAGCATCCAAATGGTCATCTCCTCGAGGACAATGTCCATGCTGCTGTGGGCCCCGCTGAGGGTGTAGTCGACGGCATTATCGCTGCTACGACCACGTGGAGCGGGTGGAGCGGATGGAGCGGTGGTGTTAGTGGTGCGACGCCTCATGGGAGACGTGGCTGTGTATGTGGATGCGGACGTGGACGCGGAGGGTGTGGCTGCGGACAACGTTGTAGCTGCTTCTGATGGAGATGATGTAGCTTTAGTCCCGGGATTTACTGGATTTGCGGACAATGTCTGTGGAGTTTCGGTTTCTGCTTCTGCTTCTGTCGCACATGTTTTTGCTAATGTTCCCGATGATTTGTTCGATGCTACTGATGCTGATGCTGCTGCTGCTGCTGCTGCGGATACTGATGCTGATGCCACTGTTGTGTTGGCCAGTGTTGGTTGGCTGGCCTCGAATAAGCCGAGTAATTTCAAATCCCGTTTGCAACAGCATCGGCAAATGCGAGGCATTTCCAGTAAATCCTCATCAGCTGAAGCACTGCCACCAGCAATCGGTAGAGAAAGTTGCTCTTTGGAGGGTGCAGTTGCTATCGCTTCTACTGCTGCTGATGTTGCTGATGTTGCTGCTGTTGCCGCTGTTGCTGCTGCAATTGCACTCGCAGCTGATGCACTGCGTCTTTTGTGCTGCCTTTCGATGGTTGCGGAATTCGCGCAGAGGAAACTGCTGCGTCTTCTTCGGTTGGCACTCATTCTGTTTTAGTTTCAGTTGTTCTACTTGCTCTCTCAGCTACTTAGTTTAATTAATTCAATTTATTGTTTCTAGCGCCAGCTTAATTCACACACGTTGCGAGGCACCCACGAAACTGTGTTTGTTTACAAGGTTTTTTCGCCGATTTGTTCTCTCTTACGAAGACGTTGCTTTCGTTTTGACCACGACTCGTTGACCACGTTGGAGACCTAAAAAACCAGAATGGGCCAGAAAGAGACATGAGAAACAGATCGGTTGGGAAACCTTTCGCCGCCAGAGCCATTCGTGCGTGTGTATGTGTGTGTGGCTGTGTGTGTGTAAGACTTGAGCTCGACTTAAACTGCGAGTTTGAGCTTAGAGCGGTTCGCGTGAGCCAGTTTCTTTTAGTAGGCCAACAAGAAACCAAATCAGAATATATGTAACTGGCGACGAAGCTCATTAGCAGGGGAAAAACCCTGGTTTTTCTGCTTTTCAGTTTCCAAATTCTACACTAAGCCCAGCTAGTTGGTCGCGCTTTAGGTTTCAAAACTCTACAGATATTTTAAATGCGATTTGATCGATGTTTACGAGTTAACGAGACAGTTTCGGACTTTTTTCGGACACTGGCATTACTACTTTTCAGTTTCGTTAAAACAAAAAAACAGTAATTGGGTTTTTATTATGAAAACAACGCGAAAAATAGCGAAAGTCTTCACTATATTGCCTTTTTTGATTTCCGTCTGCACGTATTTTATAGCATTTCCATTAATAGATTTGTTTTGCTTGGTTTCAAGAAACTACAACTCAGCATGGGAATTATTATCAATTTCGAGACCGCATTTCTATTTATGTACGTATTTTGGTTTTCGGACCAAAGTCTACACACTGATGAGCTGCAAAAGCTATAAGCATATGGGCACAACTTTTCCCACACTTCCGTTATTTATATTCGGCTTTATTTTCGGCTTTTCTTTCGGTTTTCGGTAAAAATTCTACATACGCCCCGTACACCTGCCCTTGTGGAGCAAAAATAAAACTCTGTCGCGAAATTTCTAGCCTTTCGGATGGATATAACCCGCTAGAAAAGCGATATTTCTATTTTCTTTTTGCGTTGGTTTTGACTTTGTTGCTGTTGTTGTTCTTGTTGCACGTTGTTATGGTTGGGATGTTGTTGCTTTTGTTGTTGTTACAGCCGATGTGAGAGAGATTTTCTCGAAATGATCAAATTATATTTTTGGCGGCGGCCTTTTGCGCTCGCACACTCGCACAATCAGACGGACACACACACACACACAAACACACACAGGGGGCAGAAATTTAAATTGATGAATTAAATGCAGAAAAACGCACACAAGCACCGGAATTTAAGTACGTCGGCCAAGAAATCCGTTATATTTCCAATTAACATCGATTGCCGTTAACTAACGGCACAATCACAAAACAATCGCTAATAAACAAGACGCGTCGGCGCGATACGATTTATAATTCTTTATCTTTGCGAAATGGTACGATTTGAGAGTTTGAATTCTCCGCGATGTAGCGCCAACTCATAGTTTTTTTTGGGGAGCGTCGAGAGGATCGGGCGGTGAAACCGTCGCGTTGGGAATTTGAATCGAACTGAAACCGCCTTCGAGCGAGCTAACCACTTTTGTTGCATTTCGAGTAACAGCGGCTGGAACTAACATGCGAGTAACAGTCCGCTGTTAGGCGGCTTAAGAGAGCTCGCCCTCTCTCTCTCTCGCTCGCAGCTCACCACGCAGCGCGGACTCCAACCGTGGTAGGTTTTGGCATACTGTGCCTTACTTTTGAATAATTTTCCAAAACATTACAACTTAAATTATTTCAAGTTATGCAAATCTAGAAGCAACAGAGTCAGAATGGTATTTGTGTATTGCCTAATGTTTAAAGTTACAACTGAGACATCAATGACAATAAGTATGCACAAGGTTCGTAAGTTACGGAATAAATTCCAGTCACGCCCTCCCAAAATTCGATTTAAGCAGGGGGTTTGGTTTTCCGGTGTTCATGTAGGCAAGAAAATTTCCGAATTAGTTTCTATTCTGTGTCTTTGGCCGGAATGACACATTAAATTTTTGGCATTTTCCGGTGCTCATGTACGCATGCAATTTAAGTATGTTCGCACAACGAATTTATATCATACTCGGATGACATGGCAAGTGGCAAGTGGCTTATACAAATATTTGACCCTTTTTTTGTCTTGAATTCGCTGCACAATTATGGCCGAGCAGCTGTGAACGATTAATTCTGGTAGATTGACTATTGTCGCTAGAAAGTATCTTAACCTACTACTCCGTTTCCATTTGCCTGCTAAATAGTAAGGAGAGCACAGCTGTCGAAATTGATAAAAATGAATGAATGGGCCTGCAGTGCGCTGCTTTGCATAATTCAATGTTTCTGCCAAGTGTGTTGTTCATTTAATTGGATTGTGGCAAAAGACCCATTAATAAGCGAAAAAGTTTCTGGCCAGGCTTTAAACAAGTACCAAAGAAGTTAAACTGTAAGTTATGCAAAACAAATGCCGGGGATAAAAAAGTTATAAGTCCGTGCGCCGTCTACGAGTAATTCCACAATAATCCGGACATTTTTTCCGCGCCCAGCCATACCTGCCGGAATTTCCCTGCTCAGCAGTGTTCAGTGTTCCAGCGGAGTGCCTTTAAATGTCCTTAGAATCCTGGCTGCATATAGGCAGGTGCTGGGTACACATGTACTTGTTACTATAGCAACATCCTATGTCTTATGTCTTGTGTTTTAATTGACAACGGGCCGTGTTTGCCACAAAATCTACATACATATGGATGTATGCTTGCTGCAAAGTGGTCATTATTATAATTATATCGAAAGCCTAAGCCTAAGCCGCTTTAATTATTGGGAAAATTATTGTGTCAGCTTATGAAAAGCAATCGTCCTTTGGTGTAATTAACCAAACTGTCAGTGCAGCGCTTGTATTACAAGTGGAATAAATAAATTATGCGAGTTCATAACACCGGCTAGTAAATTATTGATTAATTATGCTGAAAAAGTCACTTAACCAGTGGCAGTTCATTTGGGCCGCAAAATTGAGCAGTTTGTTTTCGCAATGCTTAAATTTTGCCCCATTATTGAAGTTGGAAAAGGTCCCTTTGTGCAACCCACCGAATCTCGATTGCAAATAGAGGACTAATTGATTTAATGCTCCTCACTTTCCGCCATTAGTAGAAAAATGGACCTTAATATGAAATCATTGCCGTCGGCCGTAAAGTCCTTGCCAAGATTTAATTATGTATCGAGGTATCGAGGCGGGCTCAGTGTTGTTGCACTGATTTAAAGGCGCGCATGGCAGCTGTAGTTGCTTTGCAGGATGATGCGATATAGGAAAGGTCCTTAAAGTTTATCTCTGCGTCTCAGTGGGAACAAACGCACAGAGGCATGTGCGTATGGTAATCCCCCATTAATTAGGGTGCGCAGTGCGAGCTGTTCTATGGCCTCCATAGTTATCCTAATCATATAATTAGCCCCGCATGCCAAAATCAATACTTTTGAGACACTCTCATCCAGTTGGCATTAGATCTAATCCACTGGCTTCGTGCGGGAAACAGGGAGTAACAAACGTATGTGAATTGCCATGCTAATCTGGGTTTGGGAAACTTTTCGCGGCGGCTACGAGTGGAAACAACAACCAGAGTCTGGGCCATCTCAAATATATGGCAAATATTTAGGCAATATGATCGGTAAGTGTATCCCTCAAAAGTAAGAACATAGTTATTTTAACTAAAATGGGCAAGGAATGGCACTCCGTTAACTTTCGAAAGTCATCGAAAGCGGAATGTGGGCGGTAAGTGCTGGAAGTGCGGCAAGTGGTGTAAGTGCTGTAAGCGCAGACTCAAACCTTTGCGAAGAATTTCGAAAGGAATTTGAATTTATACACAACTATGCGGCGGGAGAGGGAGGGCGAGCGTGGAGGCGGGACAGTGCTGGTGCGGAGAGCACGTTGAAAAAATCAGCTGTTTTGTGGGACAGCACCAAAACAGAAACAGAGATGGCAGAAGTAGAGCGCGTCAGACAAAGCAGCGCGAGCGAGATGGAGCGCGCGTTAGAGAGAGCGCGAGAGAGTGAGTGAGGGCACGGGAGAGAGGGGGGTAAGGACGCCGTGGGCTTTAAATTTCATGAATGCGAGTGCAAAAAAATGGGCAAAAAGAAATGCGAACAATGCAGAAAAAGGGGTAATGGAGAGAGCGCAACCAAAACAACGGAATATAATAAGAGCGCTTTAAAAGCTCAGTTAAGCGAATTAATTTGCATGCCGTTCGCGCGTTCTTGCACTCAAAATGTGAATATGTGGGTGCCACCCCACTGCCCCGCCCCCCGAAGGCTCATCCTCAGCCCTTTTGACTTTCGCCCCCTTCCCCAACGCTCTTCCTGCCAATTGTTGTTCGTCTCGGGCATTGTTGTTGCGTGCTCTTTGTTTTTGCGCTTCATTTCATTCGTCACTTAAACACCCCTCCCCCGCACTTAGTGCCTGCCCCCCTACAGCCCCCTGCCGCACGAACTGCAACATCCTGACAGCCATGTGATGCCAAAACGCCGATTCCTATGACGATTCCACACACAAAAAGGCTGTAGTAAGAGCCCTCGAGGACTTTCCACTTAGTCTGCTGAAGGGAACTCGCTACTTCAGAGTTTTCAGGAAGTAAGACAAATAATTGCCGTGGCTCGATTTAATCCGCCATTTAAGCGCATTTAAGCCGCTTATTCGGCTGCTTAGTACTTACTTGTACGTTTTCTAGGGAAACATTTCTGGCAGAAGTTAATCCGCCGCCGATAACGCCGCCAGCAAAACAAGGCCGGCGGCCCAATTAACAACGCCCATGCAACACGATAATTGGGTTGCACTTTCCACCGCTTCAGTCACACAACAAAAGTTTATCAGTGGCCTGCAATTTCACAAGATTTTTACGAAATTTCTCCTCTGCGTTTCTGGCGAAATAGTCTACTTTTCCCGAGCGGAAATCACGCCGCTGCGATTTTGAAGTCTTGACAAGGAATTTGTTGTCTTGTCAGTGCGTTGGAAGTTAGAGATGTGCAGGCAAAAGGCCGCTAAACAATCGTGCGAAATTAAACAAATTGCCAAGCCGTGTGCACACTTTTATCAGTGAGCAACATTCATGTCGAGCAATTAAGTGGATTGAAAACTTAAAAGTGCAAATATTTACTTTAATTTCGTAACAGAACTGCCTTATCGAATGCTGTTAGCTAACAGTAAATCACTAGGGCGCGCTGGATAACATATGTAAATTAAATCACAGCATTACGTTCTAAAAGTATTTATGGATTTAGAAATGGCAGGAAATCAATTGTTTATATCCGTATAAGCAATTGTAGCCCAAGTCGCAATAAATTTTAAGCTATCTTTTTATATTTAATTATATGAAAAATTCAAATCTTCTGGCGCTGCCAGACTGCGGCATAAGTGCGTGCTGTTAAACGCAACTTAACAGCACTCCAGCTATGTGTGGCATTTCCACAAAGGCGACGAGCGGTAACACTTGGCAGCCAAAAAACGTAAACAATTCATTGTAAATTCCGATTTCCCGCTTTTATTGCACGAAAATGTCCATGCAAAAGGCCAAAATCATCGACCAGAAGGAGTACCTCAAGAAGTACCTGTCCGGCGACAAGGAGAAGAAGAAAAAGAAGAAGGAAAAGAAGCACAAAAAGGGTTCAGCCAGCGCCAAAGTGAAAATCATTGACGACGACGCCTACGATAATGATAATCAGGAAATGGACGAGGATCTGCTGCTGGGCGGCGAGGATGCGCCCCAAATTGTGGGCGAGTACATCGAGGAGGATCCCAACGTGCGCAGCAAGTGGCGCAACATTGCCGTCAAGGATGAGATCAAGGAAGAGGACGACCAATCCTCGCCAGCACCTGCCATTCGCATCAAACAGGAGCCCGTGGATGAGGAGCAGGAGATGTGGGGGCGCAAGGCGTCAGTTGTCAAGGTCAAGGATGAATTCTCACCCTCCAGACGAAGTCCAGCCGTTAGAATTAAGCAAGAAAAACGCAGCAGCTCCAGGGATTTAAGCCCAGCGCGATCGAGAAAGCCGCCAAAGCGGGAGGACAGTCCTCAAGGGAGGAGAAGAAGGGCGGAAAGCTCAGATCAGAGTCCTCCAAGGCGAGAAAGAGTTGGCGATCAATCGCCGCCTCGCCGAAAGCGCAGAGATTCCGATCAGAGTCCACCCAGAAAAGCCAGGAATGGCAATCAGTCGCCAGCCAGGAAAAGGCGGGATTCGGACCAAAGTCCTCCAAGAAAACGAACGGGAAAACCATCACCCACTAGAAGGAGAAGGGAGTCCGATCAATCGCCACCCAGACGCCGCAGAAGTAACTCCGATCAGAGTCCGCCCAGGAGACGTAGAGACCAGGATTCAACTCCACCCAGAAGGAGGAAAGATGCCGATCAAAGCCCACCTCGCAGACGTAAAGCAGACGATCCATCTCCGGTGAGAAGGGGGAGAAAAGACTCCGACCAGAGTCCGCCCCGAAAACGGAGAGGCAACGACCAGTCTCCAGTACGCAAGAGACGAGACTCGGACCAAAGCCCACCACGAAGACGCAGAGATGATAAGCAATCGCCGCCAAGGAGGAGAAGGAATTCCGATCAAAGTCCCCCGAGAAGACCAAAGGATGAAGATCAATCGCCACCGAGAAGAAAACGAGACTTTGACCAAAGTCCATTAAGAAAACGAGACAAATCCCCACGCAGACGTCGCGATTCCGACCAAAGTCCGCCAAGGAATCACAGAAGTCGAGAACAGAGTCCTCCGCCTCGTAATCGCTTCAAGGAAGAGAGGAAGAGTCGCTGGGCCAAGGCATCGCCCAGCAAATCAGATTCTCCCCCTCCAACACACAAGCCGAAATCCACCAAGACATTAGATGGCAAGAAAGCCGGACTGCAGGATGCGAAATCCCTGAAGAAGGAAACTGACGAAAGGCGACGACAAGAACATGAACTCTTTGAGAAAATGTCCAGCGATATTTCCGGCCGCGATGGGGATGTGCAGGTGCGAAGCACGCGCAGAAAAGGAAACCGAGCGCGGGATGCAGCCAACGAGGATCCTGCCGAGCAGAGCCGCAAGGAGCAGCACGAGCAGCAGAAGAAGGAACTGTACGACCGCTGGGGCAAGGGCCTGAAGCAAATAGAGGATCGCAAGTCCCGCCTCGAGGAGATGGCCCATGAAGCCTCCAAACCAGTGGCCCGCTACGCCAACGACGAGGATCTGGACAAGCATCTGCGCGAGCAGGAGCACGCCGACGATCCGATGCTGGAGTACATGCGCCAAAAGCGCAAGAAACGCGACCAGCTGGACAACAAGCCGGTGATGCCCAAGTACGAGGGCAGCTTTCCGGAGAATCGCTTTGGCATCCGACCAGGATATCGCTGGGATGGCGTCGATCGTTCCAACGGCTACGAGCAGCGGTGGTTCGACAAGCAGAACGAGCGGCGGGCGGTGCAGGACGAGGCCTACAAGTACAGCGTGGAGGATATGTGAATGTTGCAAGCTTTGTTTCCTTTCTTGTTGCAATAAAAATTTCGACACTGCCTGTAAAAAGCAAAAGGGCAATTCTGTTGCTGGTTATTTCAAATGGAGGTTACGATATATTCTTTTGAAAAATAAAGAAAGCAACAAGATGATATAATAATATTAATTATTTTTATTATTATTTTGTATTCTACAAACATCAGATTTTTTAACTGCGCGGCAATGTGGCGCCAAATCGGCGTGCCACTTGCAACACTGGTCGCCAGCGCGATGCAACCCTGTGTGTAGAATAGCGGAGCAAAAGCGAATGCTAAATAGTCTTCATCTACACCTGCGACCTGCTCGTCGCTCCCAAAAAATCGTTTCAAAACCACGAAATAATCCGTGTAACTGGTGAAAACTCATTGCAATTATCAAGTTTAAAGCGTGCCGCACCATTTGGCCCTAAAACCAGACAGGGTAAGTGACGTCACTTGCTGAAATGAAGCATTCTAAATTTTTGCTTTGTAAGCAATAGAGTATCGTTGTGTGTGTGTGTATGTAAATGGTTCTGCTTTTGGTTTGCTTTGTTGCTGCTTTCGTTACAGCGAACAAAGCGTAACAAACTGAGTATGTGTGAGCGAGTTGGACGCTAGTGTGTGTGTGTGAGTGTTGCCCCGCCCCCAATAATTAGCATAAAACGCTCTAAACCACAACAAAAACACCACAGACGTGTTGTTGCTTTCATTTGTGGATCGGGATTTTGGTGGTTTTCCTTTTTTTCAGCTGCTTTGTCTGCCCTTCGCCTTCAGCCGCAATTGTCGGTCAGCCGATGAAAAACCAGTTTGTTTGTTTGTTTGTAGCTGCTGCTGCTGCTGCTGCTGCTGCTGATTGTTGTGATTTTGTTGTTGCTGCTGGTGCTGCTGCACTGCAATTTGCGTGGCGCGAAATTGGCGCCAAAAGCTTTCCAGCTGCAGAAACGTGGGGAAATGTTGAAATGTGTACCAATCCAATCAGGCATTTGGCGCATGCACGCGCCTGTCGTTCGCTGCAGCTTCCATCCCGCTCGCTCCCGATGCGATGCAAGTACCGCAATCAGCATTCGCTCTGTCTCTTTCCCGTTGACACACATACACACTTCCGCACATCGCATTCATTCATGACACTGCTATTTACTCCCCCTCTCTCCCTCTCTCTCTCTTCCCCTCTGCGTTATCCTCCTCGATTCCTTGTGTGCCATTTTGTGGTCTGTTTTTATTTCGCTTCACTTTGAATTAATTGCAATTCCTTAGATTATTATTTCTGCACTCTAACAAAGAGCAGTTCGCCTGCTTCTTTGTTTGCAAATGAAAATGTAGCTTATTTACACCATCGTAAATTTAATTTGTATTACATAGGTAAATCCATTATTTCCAGTGTCTAATTCTTTTTAGCAGTGAAGTACTAATTTAATAAATTGTGTGCCTTTGAAAAATAAATTAATAATAAAGTACGCTGTTTTCTTTAACTGCACCTTTTAATGTTGTAATTTTGCACATTTTATGTTGCTCTCCTTTGTTCTAAAAAATGTCTAATTATTTGAAATTATTTTAAAAGGCTATTTAAGATCCAATACCTTTTACCTTACCTAATTTAGTTTTATAAACTTCAAGTTTGCCTCTTTATAAATGCATGAAAAATAGTGCAACTAAAGTTCTTCATAACTGTAACTAGTTTTTAGTTACTTGTTTTTGAGTACAGATAACATTTTAACAGATGGAAATTGTACAGTTCCTAATTCTTTATTTTTCTAAGATAAGGGTGAAGCAAATTTCTGTTTTTGAAACGTTTGCTTATTCTGCTTTTGACCATGAAAAGTTCCTTCAACTTTTTTTAAGCACTTCATTTTGAATGCTCTTTGCATCAGATGGCTAAGATCAGTGCTTCTTGGGCCCCTTCCCCCCCAAAAAAAAGGGGGAAAACCAGAAGCTGAAGGCGCAGACACCCCAAAGGAACCCCCAAAAGGTCCAAAAGCAACCCCCAAAGCCAGCTCAACCCTTGTCCTTGGCACTTCCTTGTGCATTTCCTTGGCTTTTCCCTCCCGATTGGGGTGCTTCCAAGGACCCAGTGACATGACATTGTAATGGCTTAGAAATTTACACGCATCCCATGCTGAGTACGTGTGTTCCAGCACCCCTTACAATCCACAGATTGATCCTCCCCCTTGGGCTTTACTTGGAAACCGAGGGGTTGGTTAGCGTCCTGCACTGTGGAAAATTATTTATGTATTTGAATCTGTAACTGCATAGTTATAATAAATGTCGTTCTAATAGTCGTTACATAAAATCAGCATATAAAATATTTTAAGAAATTGGATATTTTAAGAAGCGTTTTGATTGTTTTGTGCAGCTCATTATCCAAACTAACGATCCATATGACTTTCCTGTTCATTTCAGGAAATTCAAAATGTTATGAATATTCTCATTTTTTATAAGTGACATCACGAAATTTCCAAATTTAAATGCCAATTGATTTAGAATGTTAAAACGAGTTTATCGAGAAAGTTTCAAAAAAGTTAAATTTATTATCTGATTAGGTTTGTGCAAATTTGTTTCAGTGTGGAATTTTGGCACAGTGATTCGGGTTCTTTAAAGCGTTTTTTAATTCCTCTACATACTGGAACAACATAGGGCGAAGTTATTCAAATTCCCTTTGTTCGAAACCCTGTTGAATGGAAAGGGGATTTCAATTC